GCCGCGGGTCATGTGATGGGATGGCTGAGCCGCGGGTCATGTGATGGGATGGCTGAGCCGCGGGTCATGTGATGGGATGGCTGAGCCGCGGGTCATGTGATGGGATGGCTGAGCCGCGGGTCATGTGATGGGATGGCTGAGCCGCGGGTCATGTGATGGGATGGCTGAGCCGCGGGTCATGTGATGGGATGGCTGAGCCGCGGGTCATGTGATGGGATGGCTGAGCCGCGGGTCATGTGATGGGATGGCTGAGCCGCGGGTCATGTGATGGGATGGCTGAGCCGCGGGTCATGTGATGGGATGGCTGAGCCGCGGGTCATGTGATGGGATGGCTGAGCCGCGGGTCATGTGATGGGATGGCTGAGCCGCGGGTCATGTGATGGGATGGCTGAGCCGCGGGTCATGTGATGGGATGGCTGAGCCGCGGGTCATGTGATGGGATGGCTGAGCCGCGGGTCATGTGATGGGATGGCTGAGCCGCGGGTCATGTGATGGGATGGCTGAGCCGCGGGTCATGTGATGGGATGGCTGAGCCGCGGGTCATGTGATGGGATGGCTGAGCCGCGGGTCATGTGATGGGATGGCTGAGCCGCGGGTCATGTGATGGGATGGCTGAGCCGCGGGTCATGTGATGGGATGGCTGGGCCGCGGGTCATGTGATGGGATGGCTGAGCCGCGGGTCATGTGAAGGGATGGCTGGGCCGCGGGTCATGTGATGGGATGGCTGAGCCCCCGGCGATCGTCACGTATGAGGCCGCTGCTCACACATGTTGGCAGATCCTCCTCACCTTCTCTCTTCTCTTCCAGGATTACGGGATCGGAGCACCAAACTCTAGGAGGGCCCCGGGCCCCGGAGAACACAAATGGCCCCTGAAGACAGAAGCCCACCTGGATGGTAGAGACTGAGCGGCGGCGGACTATGAGCCCGGGGACAACTGTTACATGAACGTGGCCGATGATTCGCCGGCTCCGGACATTTCCAGAACTTTCTGTGTTTATTGTTCTGTTGCCAGTTAAAGGAGAACCCCGACTTCTGCCGTTCCACCTATCAGACGGCGTTCTATGGGGGAGGGGGAGGGATTAACGGCAGCACACGGCCAATCAGAGAAAGGGAAATCCCTGGCTGGACTGGAGGGCGCAGTTAGCTTTGTGACCGCCAGATGGCGCTCCTCACCCGTCCTCAGTCTATGAACTCTGCAGAGGAGACTTTCAGCCGGACAGAACAATCGTGTCACCGACGGCAACGCCAGCCGCCAAACATGTGCTGTGTGTACCCGGCATAACTAGCTCCGCCTCCTCCCCCCCCCAGACCTGGAACAAGCACGCAGTCAGACAAGGATAAGGATGACAGCCCCGGGGCCCGCATCTTTAAAACCAAAGGCAGCTCCCGCATTCATGAACTCTTCTCCACCAATGGAGGTTGGGATGCAGCGCCGGGGAACGGAAGTCACTTCCCACTAGCTGCATGCAGCGTGCATCTTCTCCTCCGTAGGTGACCTCCGGGTTCTCCTGTTTCCTTTCCAAAACCTAAACACTTCTGACCAATCAGATTCTACCAAGGGACTGTAATGCCCCCCCTCCCCCACATACACACAGTACTTCCTTTCCTTCACTAGGTGGCCAGCATCATTCACTCCACTTCCTCTGAGCCCAGATCATCCCGGACAAGCCCCCACCCTGTGACTGGACAGTGAAAGAAGAAGCGGCACCGCGATGAGCTCATCTCTCCGTCACTCTGCTGTCTCTGCAGTACTTTTTTTCTGCCACAAGATGTCCTCCGTCTGACAACCAGCATCATTCAACCCACTTCCTCTGAGCCCGGGTGATCCCGGACAAGCCCCCACCTTGTGACTGGACAGTGAAAGGAGAAGCAGCGCAGCGATGATCTCATTTCTCCGTCACTCTGCTGTCTTCACCAGTCCGCATGATCATTGTCAGTGCATGAACTGATTGGCTCCTTGTGCTGCTTCCTTCTCCACCAGTCTGAGCTCTGCTGTAATGAGCTGATATCAGGACATTTATTGGTTACAGAATTTCTGTTTATTTGTCTTTTATATCTTCCCGAGTCCTTCACTTTCATTTCAGTGTAAATAAAATCTTCTCATCACACATTGCGTGTTTTGTGTGTCGCGGTCATCATTCCGTGTTTTGCGTGTCGCGGTCCACATTCCGTGTTTTGCGTGTCGCGGTTCTGTTTCCGTGTTTTGTGTGTCGCGGTCCTCTTTCCGTGTTTTGCGTCTCGCGGTCCTCTTTCCGTGTTTTGCGTCTCGCGGTCCTCTTTCCGTGTTTTGCGTCTCGCGGTCCTCTTTCCGTGTTTTGCGTCTCGCGGTCCTCTTTCCGTGTTTTGCGTCTCGCGGTCCTCTTTCCGTGTTTTGCGTCTCGCGGTCCTCTTTCCGTGTTTTGCGTCTCGCGTTCCTCTTTCCGTGTTTTGCGTCTCGCGGTCCTCTTTCCGTGTTTTGCGTCTCGCGGTCCTCTTTCCGTGTTTTGCGTCTCGCGGTCCTCTTTACGTGTTTTGCGTCTCGCGGTCCACATTCCGTGGTTTGCGTCTCGCGTTCCCCTTTCCGTGTTTTGCGTCTTGCGGTCCTCTTTCCGTGTTTTGCGTCTCGCGGTCCTCATTCCGTGTCGCGGTCCTCATTCCGTGTTTTGCGTCTCGGGGTCCTCTTTCCGTGTTTTGCGTCTCGCAGTCCTCTTTCCGTGTTTTGCGTCTCGCGGTCCTCTTTCCGTGTTTTGCGTCTCGCGGTCCCCATTCCGTGTTTTGCGTCTCGCGGTCCTCTTTTCGTTTTTTGCGCCTCCGGGGGCTCTT